CCTTTTGCAGCTACCGGCTGCTGTCGCTGGTTGTTGTTGTTGTTTGGGTGCTTGCGCTTCCATGCGGGTGTAGTGGTGTTGTCAGGGACGCTCCGGGTGTGGCTGACGGCGGGCGCGGCGCGTCAACCGAGCAGCACACTTGGCTGTTTGGTACGAGCTGTACACGCCGTTGCCGCGCCGCGGATGAGCCAGTCGCTTCAATTGGTTGGTGAGCAAATACAATGATGGGATGCTCTCTGTGCGCGGCAACACTCCCAAGGCCAATGGCGCGGGTCCGGCGTCGTGCGGTTCAAATGTGCTGTATGGTCGTTTGCATGCGCGCACGTCGCGACGTCGCGGAGTCCTCCATTCCATGATGGAGGCGTGGAAAAGTGCGCGGCGTTTACGTGTTGCACTAAAGTTAAAAGTTGAATGAAACCGTGTAAATGAGGCCATTGGCTCTCTGTTGTTCGTCGTGCGGGACCCCTATTACACTACGGCGCCCTTGGGAGTGGAGTATAGGCAACCCACCGTGCACCTGGTTGTTTCTGTCTGTCGCAACAATGACGTTCATTAATTCTTAAACATTTGATTTTTATTTTACAATAACGTTATGCCACAACAGCCAATGTATGGTCCGCATCGTAAATTAACGAGACCGATGAGAAACTTACAATTTTATTTGCAAATCGTAAATGACAAACTAAGATACCAAAATAGACAAAGATATTTTTTTTTATTTTACATTAAAGATGAGACAACAGCGCAGGGCATTTGTCACAGCCCTTTTCTCTCTTTTGTAGGACTTGAACCGAATGCAACTTCTTCCTCCGCCGTGCAGTGGAATGTGTGTTTTGGGGCGTGGGATGGTCAGGTGGGTCGTGCCGACCTGTCCGTGTGAGTGGAGGGCCGAGGGCCACGCCCTGTCGAAGGGTCGCGTGTCAGGATGTTGAGAGGAAAGGGGGGGGGGTCACTATCTGGTTTTCCCTCTACTACGCAGCTGACCGGGACAAACTCTGTGCGAAAAGAGAAAATTAAGCACAAGAAAATGTGATCCAATACGTTACAATAAGTTTTCCCTTTTTCCTGAAAAAACATCTGACATTCTTTGTATAACCGTGTTTATTAAGGAAAGTTGCCAGCCAAGGCATTTCATTGCAAATTTCTTGGTACAAAAACTCATTTTTCTGGGGGACAAATTATTCTCATAATTGAAATAGCACCACTAACAACATCCTATCTAGTCGTATCAAGCTGTGGTATTTCATTTTTTTAAAAGAACTTTCCGTTGTGCATGCACAACGTGTTGATTGGGGTGGGCGGCTCAGGTGGGCCAGGCCAGGTGGGCAGTGTGTGTGTCGGACCGCACGTGTGGCGAGCGTTGCACTGCGCCGCCAGGAGCACGCCGAGGGTGGCACAGAGACATCGCGCTAAAAAGCAACATTACCAAAGCAGAAAGTTAGTTCTTAGCTTGTGGCAGCGACAATTTTTAATTTTTAGAACCCCGTTATTATTGGCAGTGGTATTTGAACCTGAACGCCAGAACCTTTAGGTGAAAGCGGGCTACCGTCTTTGGCGTCTCGCCGCTCAGCTGATGGAGACGGAAGGCTCCGCAGACTGAACTGTACCGTTTGAAGATGAAAATCTTTCATCTGATTTTCGCTCGAGACGTGGGCGGGGGAAGTGAGTGGACTGGGGAGGGGGGTCGGAGTGGAGTAGCCCGCCGCCGCCAGTGTACTCTCTTCTCTGCTCAGATAGACATTTTTCTGCTTTTTCTTTTCAGCGAATTAAGTCTTATCAGTTAAAATTTACATTTCTTTTTTTCCAATATCTTGTGCGCATATTTTTTGTGGGTAAATTGAACTCTTTGTGAGACAATTTGTATGATGGAATCGCGTTATATAGAAATGATCGAAAATCGTAGTATAAATGCATTTCATTGCTAGTGCACACTGTCTTATTTTTCCTTTGTACACAGGCTAATTTTTGTTCGTTTGTTTCAGGTGTGTATGGGCGGGCCCTGTGATATCGGCGCCAGGTCTGTCTAACCTACCTTATTCTCTGAACAACTTAACTTGTCTCTTGGAATACTCGAGAAGAATGTGTGGCAAAAGCCCCCTTACTTATTGCATTTAAATGAATACGATTTGAGTTGGTGTATGAGGTTGGGACCTATCTTTGATGCGTGCCGGTGACCGGCAGAGCCCTGCACCGAGCGAGCATCGGATGCCTACATGGCGTCCGAAAGCGGTTGTGGGAGCGAGAAGCTCGCGCCGGGCCATAGCTCCCTCTCACTCCGATTCGCTTTCGGACGCCATGTAGGCATCCGATGCTCGCTCGGTGCAGGGCTCTGGTGACCGGCCGGTGTGCGTTGGGGCACGCCCAGCAGGGCCCCGCCCCGCCCCACCGCGGCCGGTCGGCGCCAAGCACATGGTGCGTGTCTGATGTTCCTCCTCACCTCCGACCGACACGCGGCGGCCTCCTCCTCGCCTCCCCTCCCGCCGAGCTGAGCCACGTCGAACCGCTCTCGAGGAATTCGCCCCTTTCCAGCCCAATTCTCGTCGCTAGATTATACCCCTCCCCCCCTTCCTCTTTACAAACGTTTGGGCTGAAGGAGGTATCGGACGGTCTCCAATGATACACTCAGCCGCTCCCTCCTCCTTCGCCCGGTCCTTGAAATTGGCCAATCTAGAAATGTTCACATCATTTTATACAAAATTATTTGAATTTTCAACAGCCGCAGGAAGTATGGGATCACTGAGAGGAAGAAAAGGGGGACTTTTGGGTTTTACTTCCCCCCGCTTCGACATCGTTTTCTACAATCCAACTTTCATTTCCGTGGCACGTCAATGTGAATATATATATATATATGTGTGCAGTGGAGGTGCAGCCCGCTGCAGCGTGGAGGCCATGCATTTCACGGAATCTGAACGTGAATAAGAAGCTTTCTTTTCTGTGTGGATCGCTCGCGCACGATGCACCGCTGCAGCAGATTGATGCGGGAGGGATTGGATACACTCCGAGAAAACCCCCTTTTCTATGCAGTGGCATTTGTTGTGACTTCTCTGGAGTCACTATTAAACTAGGATGCCGATGGGTTGAGCTTCTATCGAAGGATTACGTTGCAAAGGCGCGTTTGTTGGAGTGTCGCCCGTACGGTACTGGCAGGCCGGCGCCGGCGGGTACCAGCTGGGCAGGGCACGCCATGCCACCTGACCAGCTTGGACAAGGTCTGACCCACGCCGTCCAGCTGAGCATTTAGACAGTACTTGTCGAGTTATTTTTAGCAGATGATACCTTACAAACTTAAACTTACTTACACTTAACATACATATAACTATACATGAGTAATGTAAGGTGTCATTGCTTTTACTCTCGATTAAGAAATATTAAAGAGAACCAGAAGAAAGCTCATATACGTATTGGGCTGGGCCTGCTAGGCGGGGCCGTGAAGCGGCTGGCGTACGTCCCTCGCTCGCCGCCGTCGCGTCAGCCACGCCACGCCCGCCACGCCACGCGTTGTAGCGCTGCTGAGGCGAGCCGAGCCCCGAGCCGAGCCCCGAGCGGAGCCCGAGCCCCGAGCCGAGTCGGCCGCGCTAGCGCTAGCAGCCCCCCTCCCTTCTACCGCTGGAGCCCCCGCACCGCACCGCCACTCACCCCCCTCCCTTTCCCCACAAGTGTAAATACGGAAATATAATAGACTGGAATAGAATAATTCTTCACAAGGTATCATCTGCTTTCACGATCCGTTTCTGGTCGGAACTTTTTTATTTTATTTTTAAGTTTAGGGGCCATCTGGCACAGGTGAAGTGCCAGCTTAGTTGTGCATTTTAAAATTATAAATTAAAAATAATTGTGTGAGTTTTCAAAATTGATTTGAAAAGACTCCTTTTTAGAAAATTGAGAATTTATTTGGAAGAAAAATTACTCTACTGATAAATAAAGTGTTCAACTGGCGTGCACGTGCAAGTGCTCAACACTATGTTGCCCACTGTAAAGTGTTTGAGTGGATATTTGAGTACTACTTAAAAGTGTTCACAGCATCAGGGTTGGTCGTGAAGCTTTTGTTCACTTGAAGCTTTCTTCACTTCAAATATTTGCTGTTGAGCACTTTGAAGTATTCAAATATCCAGTCAATCACCTAAAAGTGTGCAGCACATTGTTGAGCACTTATTTATTCATTAGTGTAAATGAAATGAAAGTTGAATGATTGAAATTGTGGAGTTGTCTCCTCGTTGTGCTCGCCTGTGCCGTGGTCCGTGGTATGGATGCTGGTAGACTTGTGGCGGATTTCTCTACCGAAAGAGGCCTCCTCCTGGCCTGGCTGGCTGCTCCATGACGTCTGGCGGGGCGGGGAGCGCGGTAGGGCGCGGCGGGGCGGGGCGCGGCGCATTCCTTGCCAGGACCGGCTGAGCGCGCCTGCCGCCTGCCACGCCGACCTGGCCCTGTTTTGGTCGTATACGGCCGATTGTTTACGGTGATTCACAACATTTTTCCTATAACGTTTCGGAGATATTGCTATAGATATCTATTTGTCACGAAAGATAGCTGCACTTTATTGTTGTGAACTGTTCAACTTCAATGCAATGACGCAGCTTCATGTGCATGGTCTGTCTGTAGACAAGTGTGTCAAGTGAGTAGTACGTGTATTACATGCATTATTTCCTTGCATGCATGCGCATGTACACTCATTTTACATGGAAGGTGTTCGGGAAAATAATGCATACCTGAGGATATTCAGGAGAGCGTCCTTTGCAAACAACATGTTTGTAATTGCTCAGTAGAAAAAATCGCGAGAAGAGCATGTGCTCAGAAGTGCGTATTAACTGCGTATTAAAAAAAAGTTTCACCACCTCGGCCTCCTTCTCGGCCTCCTTCTCGGCCTTCTTCTCTGCCTCCTCCTCGGCCTTCTTCTCTGCCTCCTCCTCGGCCTCCTCGGCCACCACCTCGGCCACCACCTCGGCCACCACCTCGGCCACCACCTCGGCCACCACCTCGGCCACCACCTCGGCCACCACCTCGGCCACCACCTC